TATACGTATATTTACTAAAGATTTGACGGGATAGGAAATAATTGTAGTAATATTTGCATGGCTATTTCAATATCATCTGATCAGATTATTATGAATCACATACACTGTATTTCTAAAGTTTTCTATATTATTAGGGAAGAATAGAATGTAAAAGAAATCATTGATAATTTACTTTAAAATCAGACTTTACAATCAATATTTTTTAAAAACCTTTTTAATATAGAATTCAGCCAAGAAGAAAAAGAATCAAACCAACAAACACATTATACCAGTAAATATTTTTCATACTGGGTCAGAGAACTTGCCGTGTAAAATATTAGAGGCATTGAAGAACATATTTGGGTGATAAAGGATATGGAGATAACGAACAGTATTCAATATCAAAGTCCATAAAACAATACAAAATAGGAACAGTGCAAACACGGATCTTTAACACATCAGAGGTGGGATCAGGTGTCATGGACGAATGAGCATCCCCTGCTGACCGGTCACACCTGCCATGTGCACTTTGTCATGATCAGGAAATAATGGAAATATCTGTCGTCAATTCAGGGTATAAATAATGGACAAACAATTTGTATGAAAAACGTCAGTCAGCATTTGACTCAATGATAAATTGTATTTGCTGACAAGGTCTGTGTATCGGCCATAGAAGTTAAGACTTTAAGCGAGACTGCTGTTTTTCTTGTTTCATCAACTTGTTTGTTAATAATTTACCTCAATTTAGAAATTGTTCATACGTAGAGCATGTTCTTGCGTATCAAATCAACTGAGATATATAAACGCCGTATGCAGGTGATGAAGGTATATTGCTACATAAGTAAGGGATATGTCTGAATGTTGAGTTGAAGGCCACAGCAAGAGTTTTCTTTTTTTCACGCATAAGGTTTTGCACAAATTCATATGAATATAACAATTAGTCTGCTAATAACGGGGCGCAATGGGTTCCCCTGGGAATTCCAATAGAATAGAATCACATAGATATTTTCAATCAAAAACTCAAGTATTTTTGATGTCAACTTCAGAGTACTTGTGTGTGCAATCAGAATGTGCTTTAACAGAATAATTTTGTAAATGACCAATAACCAGGTTACTAAGTTTACGAGTTACTTTCGAAATCCCAGTCGTCATAGCCTACACATTAATAAAGAAAAATCACTGCTATTTTTTGAGAGGCTTTCGATTATAAAAGTTTTTTTAGACAGTTTTCTCCTTTTGATTCTTCTTTCAGATTATGTAATGTTGGAGTAACCACTTTCATTACCTGCAATGAGAAAATTACAAAATGACAAAGCACCCTCAATTCATGAACGATATTAAACTTGGCTACAATATTCACTTCGGTTTATGAATGAGGAGGTGAAAATATTATTTTAATTATCTAAGATATTGTATAATTCAAATAATGATCTGTGACAATAATTTCTCTCGTCACTTTGCATGAAAAAGGATGAAGACAACGAAAAGTGGTCGATCTCATAAGAACGTTCAGCATTATAAATATGTGAACAGGACATAAACACGGACTATGGATATGTTAGAGGTGTGACCGGGCACATGATAAAGCACATATAATTCATAAAACAATATTCACTTTGGCCACGTTTATGATTGAGGATATTATGTTAATTATTTGGAAATTGTAGAATTCAAATAATGATATGCGACAAGCATTTTTTTTCACTTTGTATGAAGCAGGATGAAGACAGCAAAAAAAATCGATCTGATACATACGTTCAACATTATAAATTTGTGAACATGATATGAACATGGGCCCCTGGACATTTTAGAAGTGGAATCAGATGTCTGTTGATTGGGAACACCCGCTGTAAGCCTTATGTTTTAATAAAAAAGATTGAAGGTTATGTAGTCAAATTTAGAGCAATAAAAAGGGTCTAACAGTTGGTATGAAACAAGTCAGCCAAATCACAACCCTGTGATGTTTTATGCACTTAAATCTTATCTTTAAAATTTCGAGAGGTTTGTGTTTTATGCCCTCTGTTTATAGAATTTTTAAGATTGATCACTCTTCGTTTCTTTGCCTTTTTCATTGTTCAATATACGGGTCAAATAATGTTGATTTTAAAATTGTTCAAATTCCCTTATATCAATTTATGTGTGAGTAGTTTGCCTCATTGCTCATACTTAAATCATGCTCTTTAAATCAAAGAAAACAATTGATCACCTACACTTTATAAAAAAATAATGTTTTAGACAGTCTCGTTAAGTATTATTTTCAAATTTCTACTTTTTACTTCTGGTTTGGCAAAGATTTCTAGTATTTTTATTGCAAAATGTAAAATTACCATCCCTTATATATTACTGTTATAGTAACAACACTAGTACTTACCCTGAGTTTTATCTCTGTCATTCTTCTTATCGACCTCTGGCACATCAATTAATTCCAGGTATTGCACTCTAGAAAGAAATGATAGAATTTAGCTACAAAAAACGTTTAAATAACCCTTATCATACTTCAATGACCTTTATATTTAAAATTTAGAGAAATATGATTTGATTATTTTAAGTGCACTGCTAGATCATAATATGATGCCGCAAATATGCAGTAGATTTTCTATTTGTGAAGGCATTTACAATTTAAATATTTTGATAAATACCTATTTTCTGCTTTATTAGAGTCTGAAATGAAGAAAAGTAGTTATACATTTTTAAGAACATACTAGATACAATATGTAAAAAGATTTGCTTTATTTTATTGTGATATTTCATAATAATATTACCTTTTATCTTTTCATAAACATTTGTATCAGTTGTTTCTAAAACAAACAAAGAAAAATAATTTAACGAAAAAGTTATAATATTAGCATATTCCGGTTAAAATCAGATATATATCAAACCAAAGTATTGATATTTATTTGAAATACATAAATATTCTGAAGTACATCGAAATATTTTCATCTCTTTTTATTATATCAGTTGTGCAATTGACATCATATATTAGCTTTTCTGTTCATCTTTTTTGTCCAAAAACGGGAATGATATTTGACATTCTTCATCATACAGTGATCTTTTTACAAAGATTATCTAATCAAGCATTACCTGTATTTGAAATTCCCAGGTAATGGTGATCTTCACGGGAGATAATCACGTTTTTTCTTTGTTCACTTAAAACAGTAAGCATAGTCATATTTTTTTAAATTTCTCAATTCATCTCAAGGGAACTTTAGACAATTTGAAAACACATGACATTTTTCCAAGGTATAAGAAGTGAAATCAAAACACCTGATGAAAGTTAAAAGACGTATTAAAAACCAGACATTTCAACTGATCTTTATCTTTGTTCATTTTTATCTTTTTAAAACTATCCCACTCATTTCTCTTTTGTTTAATTATCATGTTTTGAATACTGTTTTAGTAATAATACATGAAATAAGAAGTTTTCACGGAAGTAAAAGACGTATTAAATCCTTACCTGTCCATGGTCTCTTTGTTTTTGTCTATAATAGGAAATAAACTGTACACTTTAATATATATTAAATAGGGTTGTATCAACATATCGATATATCGATACGTATCGATATTAAAGAAAAATATCGTATCGAAAAGCAACTTCCAATACGTATCGGACAAACATTTTTTCTTCTAATTCTTTAAAAGAAGGGAATTTCAATCACCAAAGATTATATTTTACTTTTTTGAATTGAAACCTTCAATAACAAGAGGCCCACGGGCCTTATAGGTCACCTGAGCATTATGCAACAACTTTCCAGTTACAGTGTATTGAATTTGATTCATGTTTTAAGCCAGATGCTATATGGCATTCACAATTTTGAAAGGGCACCATTGATCATCATAACAATAAACTTAGCAGTCGCTTAGCTTGGTTACTGAATACCCATACGCAGGGTAGGGGAACAAAAATGCACTCCAACTAATCAGTAATATTCATCAATAATCAGTAGTGCCCCTAACACTCTGACATAAACCCCTGACCCTACGTTGCACAAATTTTTAAAAGGCACCCTTAAAATTGCCTATCAAAAAGTAAATAAATGTTTTATAAATACAAAGGACCAGATTTCAAACAATTATTTCATTTCCAGTATATAAGTAGAGCCCCCCGACCCTGACCCTGGGGCCTTGAAATTCACAATTCTGCAAGATTAGGGCCCTTGCTCATCATAACTATATAGGTAGTTCATCTGCTTCATACCCAGAGACAGAGAAGAAAATTTTCAAAGATTTAATGTATTTTCACTATATAATCAATAGAGCCCCACTCTAACACCAGAACCCCTGACCCTGGGGCAATGAAATTCATAATTTTAGAAGAGGCATTCTTGCTCATCATAACTATGCACTTACTTAGTTTATTTAATACCTAGGAGCAGAGAAGAAGATTTTCAAAGAATTCATGTATTTTCACTTTATAATCAATAAAGCCCCCCTCCCCCCACCCACCCCCTCCCCACCAGAACCATTGACGCTGGGGCCATAAAATTCACAATTTATGTAGAGGCACTCTTGCTCATCATAACTATGCACTTAGTTAGTTTATTTAATACCTAGGAGCAGAGAAGAAGATTTTCAAAGAATTCATGTAATTTCACCATATAATCAATAGAGCCCCCCCCCCCCCAACACCAGAACCCTTGACCCTGGGGACATTAAATTCACAATTTTGGTTGAGGCACTCTTGCTCATCATCACCATGCACTTAGTTAATTAATTTAATATCTAGGAGCAGAGAAGAAGATTTTCAAAGAATTCATGTAATTTCACTACATAATCAAAAGAGCCCGCCCCCCAACACCAGAACCCTTGATGATAGGGCCATTAAATTCACAATTTTGGTTGAGGCACACTTGCTCATTATAACTATGCACTTCGTTAGTTTATATAATACCTAGGAGCAGAGAAGAAGATTTTCAAAGAATTCACTTATTTTCACTATATAATCAATAAAGCCCCCCCCCACACACACCAGAACCCTTGACCCTGGGGCCATAAAATTCACAATCTTGGTTGAGAAAACACTTGCTTATCATCACTATGTACTTAGTTTATTTAATACCTAGGAGCAGAGAAGAAGATTTTCAAAGAATTCATGTATTTTCACTTTATAAACAATAAAAGCCCCCCCCCCCCCACCAGAACCATTGACGCTGGGGCCATAAAATTCACAATTTTTGTAGAGGCACTCTTGCTCATCATAACTATGCACTTAGTTAGTTTATTTAATACCTAGGAGCAGAGAAGAAGATTTTCAAGGAATTCACATATTTTCACTCTATAATCAATAGAGACCCCCCCCCCCAAACACCAGAACCCTTTACCCTGGTGCCATAAAATTCACAATTTTGGTAGAGGCACTCTTGCTCATCGTCACTATGCACTTAGTTAGTTTATTTAATACCTAGGAGCAGAGAAGAAGATTTTTTAAAGAATTCATGTAATTTCACTATATAATCAATAGAGACCCCCCCCCAACACCAGAACCCTTGACCCTGGGGCCATAAAATTCACAATTTTGGTAGAGGCACTCTTGCTCATAATAACTATTTACTTACTTGGTTTATTTAATACCCAGGGGCAGAGAAGAAGATTTTCAAAGAAATCATGTATTTTTACTATATAATCAATAGAGCCCCACCCTAACACCAGAACCCCTGACCCTGGGGCCATAAAATTCACAATTTTGGTAGAGGCACTCTTGCTCATCATAACTATGTACTTAGTTGGTTTATTTAATACCCAGGAGCAGAGAAGAAGATTTTCAAAGAAATAATGCATTTTTACTATATACTTATTTAGCCCCGCCCTAGCACTAGAACCCCTGACCCCAGGGCCATGAATTTCACAATTTTGGTAGAGGACTCAATGCTGATTACAATCATGCAAATAGTTTGACTGCTTGATGTCCAGGAGTAAAGAAGAAGACTTTTAAAGATTGCATTAATTTTAGTGGTTTTGGCCCCACCCCTCAGGCCCCAGGGTGGCAGGGATCATGAAATTCACAATTTTTGTTCCCCTTTACCCATAGATGCTTTGTGCCAAATTTGGTTGAAATTGGTTCAGTGGTTGCAGAGAAGAAGCTGAAAATGTTCAAATGTTAACACACGACACACGACGGACGACGGACGACGACGGACGAAAACGGATAGCAATAGGTCACCTGAGTTTTACTCAGGTGACCTAATTATATTATTTCTAAGGAAATAAAACAGTTTTTATAATAATTATAATTTTTTTTGATTTGTTGATTTTGATTTGCTGATTTTGATGTTGATTTTACCGTCATCAAAAGTTTTAATTGAACTGTTATTTTTAAAGACAATGAGACAAGAACTTTAAAATGGGTAATAAAACACTTCATTGTTATGAAAAGTATGCATTAAAATGATTTAGAAGCCTTTACTGATGGACTTGTTTCAGAATCCAATATATCGGATATCGCTTTAAAAAATATTGTATTGTATCGTATCGAAATTTTTGGCTCAATACACAGCCCTAATATTGAATAATAACAACATTTTTCACGATATTCAATGAATATATAATGGATAAATAATTTATCTATTTTACTAATCTAGGTTTAATGAATTAATGTTTCTCTTTCTCTGTTGTCAAACAAATAAAAGACAATTTATCATTGATCTTATGTTTTTGTTATCTTCACCTTTTTCATTGATAAACAAAACATGAAAAACAGCATGTAACTTACCTTTACTTCCTATAGGATATATATATACTTTCCATTTTAATATATTTGATAAATATAACAACATTCTTACGATATTCAATTAAAATATAAAATAGATTAATGAAAGTTCATTTATTTAATCAATCTATGTTTAAAGTTCAATTTCAATTAAAGTGATACCAATCTGATGGAAGATAATTACAATCAAGTCTTTTTGTTATCTTGACCTTTTTCATTAATAAACAAAATTTTGAGCAATGCAGGAAACTAACCTTCATTTTTCCTTTCTTTTCTGTATTTGCATAAAGCATAGGCAACAACCACCGAGAAAATTGTAAGAACAGCGCCACCTAGTGTTCCTCCAATTATCTGTTCTGTAGGACATCCTTTATTTGTGTCTGAGGAAAAAGTTTACCATTTAATATATTTACTAATTCCAAACTTACAGAAAGAGGATCAATGTACATACCCTCCATCCTTTCTGGGTCAGTTCCACATGAGTGGTTATTGGACAGAGCGATGCCGTTGTGGTTTGAGCTCAAAACTCTAAATATATATACCGATCCAGGCTTCAGGTTGGTAACTTTATACGTGTTTATTTCTATATCATTTGTTCTATTCATTTTTTCAAAAGATGCATTTAGAAAAACATTTTTGTTTTCGCTGAGCTGAAGACTATGGTGGACGTTATTAATAGAGTTTGTGGAAGGCGACGTCCATATAACGTACGCTTCTGTAGACCTACAATCAACATGTACCAATACCGGCGCAAGTGGTTTATCTAGAATGGAATAAAGATATGTATTGGTTGGTCTAAAACATTATCATTCTTTTCTTGAATGTCTTTATTAGTCTGGATTAAAAGGTACAATATTGAATGCTAAGTAATCAATGTATTCACAGGAATTGAGAAAAATCCCCAACATTATTAATAAAAGATGTAATGTATAGGCATTTATTTCTTCGGCAGAACTCTAATACTTACATTGTACAGAAATATCAACAGAACCGCTGGAGTTCCCCACAGAGTTTGAAGCTGTACAGATATATGTACCCCCATCCTCAATGGTGGCGGTCTGTATAACGTAAACTTGACCAGTGGACACTATGGAGGAACTGTTAGAATTGATCTTAGTCCAGCTGTACTCAGCAAGATCTTCTGGATTCTCAGTGTAACAATAGATCCAGACATTGCTTTGCCCAGTTACTACCCTCAACATACTGCCTGGTAAGATTTTTACATCTGAAATATCTAAAATAGTCATAAAATTTTAGCGATCTCAAGAACACTCTTTAAATCCTTTCATTAGGAAAAATCTAGAATAAGAAAGATGTCACAGGGGGATGATCACATTTTCGTTTGTAAGGCTCATCGTATAAATCGTACTGTAGAATAACTTGGATTTAATTCTACAAATGGCAATCCTACTTATACTCATACTCTTCTCTTTCTAAGGAAGAAATTCTTAAAAATCATATGTCTCCTTTAAATATTTTTAATATTCCACAGAGCCAAAATGAATTTGAACTATTGGATTCCGAAACTTCATAAAAATCCTTACAAACAAAGATACATTGCGGGTTCTAGTAAATGTTCAACCAAGTCCCTTTCGTTCTCCTCACTAAGATATTGACAGTAGTGAAGGAAAAACTTCAAGAGTACTGCGCAACAATATATTCAAGAAATGGTGTGAATCAAATGTGGATACTTAAAAATTCCAAAAAACTTTTGGACAATTTGAAGTCACACGAAATTTCCAAAATCAACAGCTATAAAACTTCAACTTTATACACACACAACTATTCCCCATGATAATAGAAGTCCAGGCTTTTTGATATCATTGACAGCTGCTTTTTCAATAAAAATGAAACTTGTTAATTTACTTACCTGGTCATTGGTCATTTGCAAAATTATTTTGTTAAATCAAATTCTGATTGCATACACAAGTACTTTTAAGTTGACATCAAAAAGATGCTCGAGTTTCTGATTGACAATATCTATGTGGTTTTCGGAGACCAGGTATTCAAACAATCTGTTGTAATTCCCATGGGTACTTATTGCGTTCCGTTATTAGCAGACCTATTTCTATATTCATATGAAGCAGAATTTGTAAAAATTCTGATGCATGAAAAGAAGAAAACACTTGCTGTGGCCTTCAACTCGACATTTAGATATGTGGACGACGTATTGTCAATAAACAATGGTTAATTCCATTTCTACGTCGATACGATATATCCTGATGAGCCTGAGATAAAATGATACCACTGCGTCTGACACTTCTGTTTCATACTTGGATATTTTACTTGAAAAAGGCGGTAATGGTAATCTAACAACCAAGCTATATGATACCTGCATACGGAGTGTATATATCTCAGTTGATTCGATACGCAAGAACATGCTCTACGTATGAACAATTTCTAAAACGAAGTAAACTATTAACATGCAATTCAGTGAATCAAGAATATCAGCAGTCTCGTTTAAAATCATTATTTCGTAAATTTTATGGTCGCTACAATGACCTTGTCAGCAAATACAATTTATCATTGAGGTTAATGCTGATAACGTTTTTCATACTTATTGTTAATCCATTTTTAAACATTGAATTGACGACAGATTTTTCCGTTATTTCCGATCATGACAAAGAGCACATGGCGGATGTCACCGGATGGCAGACGATGCTCAGTCTTCTATGGCACCTGATCCTATCTCTGATGTTTTGGAGGTCCGTGTTTGCTCTGCTCCCATTTTGTATTGTTTTATGGACTTTGATATTGAATCATGTTCGTTATCTCCATATCTTTCTTAACAAAATAACTTTGCAAGTGACCAATGACAAGGCAAGATAATTTACGAGGTCTATTTTTATTAAAAGAGCAGTTTATATGAAAAAATCATATTTCTTAAAAAACAAAACAATAAAATTTTGAAATGCAATTTATTAAAATAATTATGATAAATTTTTGAAATGAAATGAAATATTTCAAAATAATCATGATAAATTTTGAAAATATGATAAAAAAAAAAAAAAAGATATATGGAAACGGCAACGGACTATTAAAAAGCTCACATCAAAGCACGTTCATACAAGATTTGGCTGATATCATCCATGCAAGTTAAGTTATAATGTGGTTTCTGCTAAACATGCTAGTTCAATCATGATGTGGCTTCTATTGTCCATGCAGGTTCAGTCATGGTATTGATTATCCTAAATTGTTCACTTATTAAAAAATTATGTTATTTCTGAATCAATTGTGTTAGTGTGCATTCATGTGTGCTTTCATTCTCATTTTTCTGTCATACTTCTGTCATTCTGTCTGACATGCTGTGTCATTCTGTCATTCTGTGTCATACATTCCGTCATTCTGTGTCATCATTTGTCGTACTCTATCATTCTATCAGTCTGTCATTCTGTTTCATTCTCTGTCAGTCTGTCAGTCTGCCTTTTAGAATGAACCTGATTTTGAAAGATTAATAGGGAAACCACTGCTGTCACCGATACCTATGCTAGGGGTTTATAGTGACATAACCTAAATGAAATAAGCTTTAAAAAAGAGAAATAAATGTCAATGTCTATTTAGTCTTCTTCTGTCCCTTCTTTCTTTTTCTAACAATAAACCAGATGAGGAGTAGTCCCAGGATAAGGAATAACACTACAATGCCGGCGATAATTAGAAATTTGCTGACCTGTAAAAGATTTTGTTAACATAGAATAAAATTTACAAGGTATTTACAAGTGGAGGCCTGTCCGCATAGAATAAAAAAAAATGAGGTAGGGAGAGAGCAATGGAACGCTTAGGCCCTAGTCACTTTTATTTTTATGCAATTGAATTTCTGTGTACATATAACATTCATATGTCTCGGTTAAAAACAAAGATAACAGATAAAGCTTGGCAGATTATGTAATTCAATTATACCAAGAGATGAAAGATATTGTATTAAATCTCATACTGTTTTTGAAGATATTTTTTTTATTTGTATGTCCTCTGTATGATGCATTTAAAATTTATTAGAAAATCTATGTTACTATCTTTGTATACATCATGTATGACCTGTACTACATATTGATTTTATCAATAAAGACATAAATAAAATATCAACTATATAAGGTATTTAAAAGATTGAAATAATCTCTATTTTACATTGGTTTTTGTTCAAAATTGATATAAATTGCAAATTCAAAACTAAGTAAAACATATCTTTATCTCTATAAAATATGTATATGTATAAATGTATGCAAATACCTGGTCAGAACATTCCACACCGTATCTACAATACGACGCGAAATGCTCGCAATTTTGGGTAAGCAAATTATATCCTTCCTTGCCGATGTTCATAAGTGCTGCAGTTTTTATTTCTTGTGTTTGGCGTGGACTACAAAATAAAAATTCAGTTATTATTCTTAATTGCCTAATACTTGAACAAATAAATTTTCTAAAAACCACATTAGGCGAAATTTACTAGATATATCAGAAACATTTCCACATCCATGTTAATGTTATCTGAACAGCTTTTAGCAATTACTCGAAATGATTTAAGAAGATATTTCATTTGCTCAGCAGATTTATTTTGACTTTGAAAGAAAATAAATTTATTAAGAAGGTACAATTATATAGTTTTTAACACATTAAATGATTACAAAAATATTTTTAATTTGTAATTATGTTTAAAACCTGAATTTCCTGTCTTTTTTATTGTTGATGGTAGCCTTAGAACTCTTGCACACTGTAAAGAAATGTTCCATTTTTACGATGGCTTTTCCGGTAATTGAAGAAATGTGACTAGGGTTCCAGTGGATCCCATCCCTGTCATTCCCACTGCGGTGAACTACGTACCCATCACCTGTTGAATATTTGTAAAAAATGAGTGCAGTGATATCAGCTTAGCTTGCCTATTCATTCAAGCATGACATTAATATTTTGATATGTATTATGTTTTGGATATAATGCATTTTTACTATCTAATAAATTTAGTACCACCCAAACACTTAAACACCTGAACCTGGGGCCATAAATTTCACACTTTTTGTAGAACACTCAATACTGAATACAATCAGGACAACGGTTTAAATGCTTGATGTCCAGCAGTGAAGAAGAAGATTTTTAAAGATTTCATTAAGTTTAGCGGTTTTGACCCAAACCCTCATGATGATACAGGGGGACAGGGACCATGAAATTCACAATTTTCTCCCTTAACTCATAGACGCAAAAATTTGTTGAAAATGGTTAAGCGCTTGCAAAGAAGGAGCCAAAAATGTACGAGTTTCAGTGGACGAAAACAAATAGCAATGGGTCAACTAACTTTACTCTGGTGCCTTAAAAAGTAATAACTGTATTTTGAGTGTATGTTATTGAAATATGGTAGAGAATGAAAATCCCTCTATCCCAGGATTTTGAGTATAAAAATGAAAATGAAATATACGCTCTAGGTTGTTTTAATAGTAGTCAAAACGTTTTATATTAGACATTAAACATACAATAGATTGTGTGATGTTTTTATGCAGAAAATTATATTTGATATGTAAATCACCAAAATGCATGTTCTATATTCAGTTGATTATATTTGTTTGCAAGGTTATTTTGAAAAAAAACTATTCATCTACAATACAGAAAAGAAACTAAATGTTTTAGACTCATAATTTAAAGATAGAAACTGGAAGGTATATAGAAATAGAATGTATGTATCACGAGTTTGTAAGTGTTTACACGTAACATGTTCTTATATTATGTATGTCATTGATAAGATAAATTAATGGTAATAAATCGTTTTAAGTAAAGTTGCACACGGTTGAATATTGTATTTGGTATGTGAAACATATGCAGATAACGAACTGTATTCAAGATCAAAAGTCCATAAAACAATACAAAATAGGAGCAGAGCAAACACAGACCTCAAAAACATCAGAGGTGGGAACAGGTGCCACAGAAGACTGAGCATCTTCTGTCGACCAGCCACACCCGCCTAGTGCTCTTCGTCATAAGATCGGGAAATAACGGGAAAGTCCGTCGTCAAATCAATTATAAATAATGGACTAAATATAAGTGTGAAGAACGTCATTCAGCATTTGACTTAATGATAAAATGTATTTGCTGATAAGGCCATAGTAACGACAACAGAATTTACGAAACGATGATTTCAAACGAGACTGTTCATATTCTTGTTTCATCAACTTGTTTGTCAATAATTTACCTCGTTTTAGAAATTGTTCATACGTAGGACATGCTTTTGCCTATCGAATCAACCGGGATATATATACTCCGTATTCAGGTGATAAAGGTATATTGCTGCATAACTAAGAGAAGATAACGATAGAAAAGTTAAAGTCACCACGTTTATCATAGAGCTTGGTTGTTAAATTACCATTAACGTCTTTTTCATGTAGAATATCCAAATATGAAACAGATGTGTCAGACTCTATTATATATTTTTTCTAAAGCTCACCAGGGTATATCGTATCGACATAATGGAAATTATAATTGTAAACTGACAATACGTCATCGATATATTTAAATGTAGAGTTGAAAGCCACAGCAAGCCCTTTCCCTTTTTCACGAATAAGATTTTTTTTCACAAATTCTGCTTTACATCGATACATAAATGGGTCTTCTCATAACGGGGCGCAATTTGTATCCATGGTATATCCAACAAATTGTTGGAAGACCTGGTCTCCGAAAACAACATAGATATTGTCAATCAGAAACTCAAGGATCGTAACGATGTCGACTTTAGAGTACTTTTGAGTACAATCAGAATGTCTTTTAACAAAATAATTTTAGGTAAGTTTATTTACAAGATCCATCTTTTTTGAAAAAGCGACTGTCAATGATATCGAAAAGCCTGGACTTTAATTTATCTTGGAGAATAGTTGTGTTGAAAGTTGAAAATCGTAAGTTTCTAAGCTGTTGACTTTGGTTAATCTTTTAATTTAAAGAATGACCCCAAATATCTTGGTGAGGAGTAAAGAAAGAGGCTTGGTTGAACATTGATTAAACATTTACTGGAACCCTGCCATGTATCTTTGTTTGCAGGGATTTTTATGAAGTTTCGGACTCCAATACATGCACATATGTATATGGACCAAAATAATATTGGTTCTTTTTTATATTAAAAATATTCAAAATTAACATAAGATTTTGAAGAATTTCCTCCTTAGAAAGGGAACTATGAGTATAAATTGGATATTACCACTTGCAGATTTAAATCCAAGTTCTCTTAAAATACTATTTATATAATGGGCCTTACAAACAAAGACAATGTTGATACCTGCTTTGTCAGCAGGGACCAGTACGTATTGATCATGTTTTCTATCTGATTCTTTTTTTCACTTCTGGATAATTGAATACAGAAGGATAGATAGTTTTCATATTGCCCCTCAATAATTTAATGCGCGATTTCATCACGGATCTTATGTAAGTATGTTTTGGTATTTTATTGTGACCCCCCCCCCATCTCATGTTTTTGTTGATGTAATATGTTTTGTAATGCACCCACCAGGGTCTTCTTTGTTTAATTTTATCCAATCGTTGTACAGTATTTTGTTTATGTAAGTAGTTACATAACGCACCCCAAAGGGTAACTCGATTTTACTTTCAGCCAAAATATTATCAGTACATTTCATTATCATTTTTTGTCAAGAGTGGCTGTATTTTCCTTAGCTGTCTACTTACAAACTAAAATATCATTGCGTAGTCTAAATTGAATCGTTTACATTAATAAATATGTGATTTTCTTTTACGAATGCTTTTACTCTCAGAATTTTTAAGACTGTTTAAAAAGGAATTTTTTTTATTATAAATAACAATGCATTGACGGTAATTTCAGGGTGTCAAATTGATATATAGTTTTATCCAGTTTTTTTTATGATTAAACATCTTGGTTCGTTTGATAAAGAAAGCGGCATTCGGTTTCAAAACCATTGGAATAAATGAATGGTTTTAAATCAAGAGTTTACTGCTCTTTGTTTTGAAAGACTTATAGGTAATGAGACTGCTTATCCTTGGATTTTAGAGAATAACAAAATATTCCCCTAAAATTGGACTCGAAGTTTTTAACCTCGATCTCGAACGGAGTTTATTTATTGTGCTTATACAATCACGTGCTCCTATGGTCTTATGTGTAAAGGGGGCGTGACGGGGTCAATCGAAGATACCAATTAAAAACGGAGGCCACCAAGTGCTGATCTTCTTTACAGTGCCAAATTGGGTAAAATTAACTTCTCTCTAATCAAGGCTGTTACTTATCTCATTGATAATTTCATCTTAAACCTCTGAAACCGAACCCAAAAATTAAAATAAAAAAAAATTTAAAAAAGGACAATTCTGTGAATCGTAAGAATGCTAAATCCTGTAGCAGGTGCTACTTGTCTTCTGTTCTTTTAACAAAATGAAATTTAGATTAAATTAAAGACATAATTACTTCTTACCTACGTAGACAGCCCAGTGTTTATAAAAATTCCTGGGGAATTCTATCAAATCTCCAATTTTTAATTTTCCTAATACTGAAATATTATGAAGTCTACATTCCGCGCTTGTAACCATATATGATTGCAATTCAGCAGTAAAGAGCTTTTATACAGACTGAGAAAGTTCTCGAACGGCTATGCCACTTCCTGTCACCTTATGATTATTCATGTTTCCATAAAAGGAAATATATGCTAATCCCCACGTTCATATGTCATGGTTTGATTAAAGTCGGGATATTTTTTCTAGTATTGTGATTGCAAATTATTCATATAGTTCAACGATTAAGCAAGAACTTCAGTAATTGATGACACCTCTTTTCGGGGTATATCTTTTCTCTATCATCTACATGCAAATAACAAGCCGTTAGATACCATGACATTCTATAATTAGCTATGGCGTCATTCAACTACTATAATTTGTATATAGCCTTTTTATATGTTTCTTGTCCGTTCAAAAGGTAAAACAAGTTTAACTTTATTTTTAACTTTCTTCTCATAAAAAAGCATTCTCACAAAAACTGCATATCTCCTTGCAATTTATGCTACGCAAAAATATATGTAAGTCAGTGGTAAATATGGGTATTTTTTGAGGCCATATTAAATGCTGAAAAATGCAAAGTATTAACTTATTACAGGCATACCATAAAGAAACTAAAATAACAACTTAAGAAAAACAATAAAAATGTTTGATCTTAAAAAGATAGGTTTTAGCAAATTTATTTTAAAAATTTTCTCTGTACCTTGGTATAAAATAAAGTAACCAAGTACATACAGTTATTCTTAATAAAGCTGCCTCATCCTAAACCGTGAAATTCATGGTCCCAGGGTCAGAGGTTCTGGTGTTTTGGCGGGGCTGTATTGATTACATAGTGAAAAAATGTATGAATTCTTTGAAAATCTTTTTCTTTGCTCCATTATGGCAATGATATTAGTGGATATTTATGATGAAGAAATGTGCCTCTTCCTAAATTCCACGGTCCCTGGGTCACAGATACCCGGGGTTACATAGTCAGAAAAAAATCATGATAAAATATCCAGAATTTTGAAATATATGAGTAGTAGGGGCGGACGTCCCCTAACAATGGTGGTCTATTGTGTTGAAGTACCGTGACACTGGCCTAGTGTGAATGAGCACGGGTTTGACGATGAAATTTAATACAGGAGCACTAACACGAATGAATGAATACGGGTATTTAAATGTCAAGGATTGGAAGTACAGCAAGAGAAGGGCAACAAATGCTCTTTACACTTTGTGATAAAATGAAATGTTGACTTATAGTTCTATATAGTTCTAGATAGTGAAGTAACAATATTATTTTAAGGTACTCCAATCCTCAGGATCTGAAAATCAAGTATTGACTGATTGAAAATGCTCGCAAAATTGTCTCTCAATTTTCAAAGTAACGTGTTTTACCCATCATAGTTCTTCAAACTTCATCTTTCAAGCTAATCGTATTATATAGAGAAAATAAGTAAATACTAAATACATTATCAGGAATTGCAAATAAAAACAGCCGCTATGCATTTTCCAATTCAAATTTGATCAATTAACACATATCAAAAATAAAAATCATAGGTATCCAGGCTTTTGAAGAAATTATACAATTTTTATACATATAAGTACTGTTATTTCTTTTATTTACTACGATCATTTTACAATAAACAGTGTATAAAGATTCTCCTGTCATTGAAAAGCTCCATAAATCATTCTTATTTCATACCATGTCAATAAACATTGAAATATATGGTTAGATTAAATATTCAAAAATCCCGTCTAACGAGTGAAATGAATTCCATAATCAAATACAAAACATTGATTTTTATCTTTATTAAATTTTCTTTGATTTCTCCTTTGCCTCTTTGTTAGGCTACATGACGTCTTAGTTAAGACGTCATCTAAGTGAAGTGTAAACATTGTAAACATGGATTTTAGCAACATATTTTGGGTAGATTTAAATGTTTTATTCTCTGTCAGAATCCATGGTTTATTTACTTCTTTCTATATATCGTATATCAGGTCAAGGAAGATTTTCACAACACTCTCCGTAATGGGAAGGAATATCTTGAATATATTGAGGTTTTACCTTTGATATTTCCTTATTTGCCACACTGTAACTGTGAAAGGATATCATTTTTCTTCAATGAATAAACAGGTGATATTCACTGCTTTGTATTGTTTTATGGACTTTGAGACTGAACACTTGTTTGTTATCTCTATATCTTTCTTGAATATGGAATTTATTTCACGAGTGGGACAGAATTCTTTTTTCAAAGCGAAGCACGTGTGAAATATAAAAAAAATACCTGTCTCACGAGTGAAATAAATTCCATACTCAACTACAAAACATTGCATTTCCTTTTTATTACAATTTCTTTGATTTCTTCTTTGCCTACTTTTTTTTTGGTAATGCAGTCTTATGCTACATGTCTTCATAATTGAGCGGTTGAGACGTCATAGCTAAGTTAAAAACGTTGTTAACATGAATTTCAGCAACATATTTGGGGAACTTTTGCAGTTTAATTTTATGACAGAATATTTGATTAACTTGTTTTCTATCTTATAACAGATAAAGGAGGAGTATTTTTTACACTACTGTTGTTGAAGGGAAGGAAAATCGCGAGTTTTCCCGCACTTCTGGTGTTCTTTAACACTGTGTAAAAGGATATCATTTAGATATCCTTTCACACTGTGGCAGGATATCAGTTTTATTCAGTGAAAAGATTAGAGTATTTCACTGTTGAAAATGCAATAAATTTCTTTAATAGTATTTCACTAATAAAATTGTAATAAATGTAGGGCTTCTGAACATTTTTGTGTCAATTTTTACACACATCACCATTGGGAATTATTCACAATTTTGGTAATTTCTGTTCATCATAACTATGTCATAGTTTATTTATTACCTAGGGATTTAAATGATATATGAGGTACTGTGAGGAAACAATTTTAGCTGGCCTCCCATATGATTATAATGGCAGTTAAAATTTATATGCAAAATCAAAAATATATATCAAGAAAAATACAAATGACACAGGCAATATGATAAAGATTCCTTTTGTAAGTTTATAAAATTTCCTTCAGTGGTATGAGAGGAGTTCTAGAATTTCTCCTTTTTTGACAGAAGATGTTATCATTAAACGTTTGATAAACATCGCTGACTGGAAGTATTGTATTTTATGCAAGTCAGCAAAGATATCATTTGTGAGGACTCTTGCTTATCATAACTTTTTAATATGTTTATTTAATACCAAGAAGTAGAGAAGAAGATTTTCAAAGAAATAATGCATTTTCACTATATAATAACAGAGTGCAAACACCAGAACCCTTGACCAATGAATTATAAATTTTTTTTTTAATTTCAATCATAGAGATTTTTGACTGCTTGATGTCCAATTAAAGAAGATTTTATTTTAATTATGATTTAGTGTCCTTATGTTTTTGCACCTAAGCTGCTATACCCAATATCATAATTTTTATAGATATTTGCGACATACTGCAATGAAAGAAAAGGTTTCAAGCATCTAATTTTCAACAAATCATGGCATACAAATGTATGAATTTAAAATAAAAAAATAATTCCTCAAGCAATCAATGGGATATTATTCGTATCATCCATTTACAACGAAATCTAAGAAATATTTCGAATACCTTTTTAAAGAACAAGCTCTTTTGCGAGAACAGATGGTATGGATAATAGTCCAATATGTCTTTAGTGCAATTCAAGACTGTGACAAGTATATATAAATGTAGAGACTTTAGGTACTTTATTTGTCTAATGCTGTAAAAACACGTTTTCGTGGGGTAAATTTTTCTTAGTTTGAGGAAAAATTAGGGTTTTGTTCGGAATTGATTTCGTACATAAAGAATTGCTGAGTAGTAATGTCTGAAAAGTTACATTTCAGTATGGACATAGTTTTGTGTGTACCGTCTTTATAACTTAAAAACAATGAAGATTAATCCCCTAAGAAAATATGATTTTACAGTTTATCGATAATTTCTCTTTATTCTTCCAAGGCAAGATATAACTTATGTGCAATGAAATGTTTTCCTGGCTTCCAACACTGTTCAAGGGACGGTAACATTCTACCCGAATAGGTAAATAAACAGAATAAAAACAGCAATAATCTCTACCCTTTTACACATAATTGATATCCTTTTTGTAGTGGTTATAAAGATACTATTCTTAACTTCACCTTTAGAATAGGTACATTAATTAGAAATAAAAAGATATCTTTCAAAAATTAATGAGCTTAAAAAATGCACCGAATTTGAGGTTATATTAATGATGACGATTACTCAAGTTTCAGAAGTCTAACATGAAATTCTATATACTAATATGTTTAATCAAAATTGTTTTAAATAAATGAAATAACAAATTTTTAACTCAGAATCAATTAAAAAAATCAAATATCTTAATTATTTCTTGAAGAAAGTATACAAGAACAAAAGTCAATGTATGGTGTTGCAGAGGAAATTCTGACTAAATATTTATTTTTTCATTTTTGGCAAAAGAAATTATTTCTTGCAATATCAATTACAATGTAAAAGTTAAATGCACTTTAAAACATTATTTTGCAAATATTATGTATATTAAAACTCATGAATTATTTCAAAAAATTAAATGCTATAAAAAAAGTAAATTCATAAATATGAACAAGAACCATTTCAGACAACATATCGTAATGATTTGATCATTGACCTCATATCATATCAATACTATTATAAGAAGATAAATAATTTAGAGGTCTTATCATTCAGACTTTTATAATATTTGGTGGGAAAAGGAGAAAAAACAGAAAGATGACAAAGGAAATAAGAACTGCAATAATTTATAAGTATATGTTCCAAATTCTAATCACATATTTACAAAAAACAACGCTGTTCTGTCTCTTTAATATTTCATGAGTAAAAGAGTTCTGTTTCTTTTAATATTTGGTGTGTAAAGGAAAAACTGGTCAAAATTGGAAAAATGAGGTATTTTCCCAGAAACAAAACATTGAATATCCTCTATTTATTCAATGAAGAAAAATTATATTCTGTCACAATGATATCTTTTTGATACGTTTTTCATACCAATTGCTGACCGTTATTTCTACACTGATT